GCAAAGTTATTTATCAGATGCGACTTTTACAATATAATGAACATAATGATTAGTTAGAGAAGTAAGACTGTCACAAGCTGCAAACTTGCCAGCATGGATTCATTTCATAAAGGTATTTTTAACGCTCCGAAAAAAAGTTCAAAATTTTTACTTCCAGAAGTATCAAAATTACTAATGTAAATTGCTAATTTTAATCAATCTGATCAATATGTTCATCAATCGCAAATACGTCCAAGGATAAAAGATCGCGTATATTCAACTCAATTCGAACTTTTTGTTTTAATCTAAATCATTTTATTAATTTAACTACAGTGTATAGGAACGCATTTATACATTTATAAAATATTATACAAAACCTACAAGATCTTCCTGTATTATTTATAATATCATCTGATTACGGTCAAAAACTTTTTTTATCTAATATTATCAGTAAGACAAAGGCGCGATTAAGTCGAAATTGCGATTCGACTGTCGGAGGCACAAATATGTTTCGCTATTAAAAATCAATTCAAAAACCGCAGCACAGCAAACTTTTCAAACTTTTGTCGAATTTTACATTGTCCGCAAAAATGGTTTTTGCCAACTTGACCCTAGTATCCCTCTCGCAATTTATGCTATAAACAAAATTTGTCTTATTTTGTTCTTGGAAAAGTTTACTGGCAATTTTATATTCAAAATTTCGCAGCAACTGTTAAAATCTTCTTGCACATTTCATATATTCGATTTTCTATCTTCTACTCAGGAACTTGCTTGTAATATACACCTGTTGGCCCAACGAAAGGTTCCTTATATTACATTTATTAAAATAAATAAATAAAAATATGCAAAATGACCAATTCGGATTAACTGTAAAATTAAAGCAATTGTTATATTTTTTTCGCCTCTCCTTCTCCTTTTCTTCTTTTCTCTTGAACATTTAATCATCGTGTAATTCGTCAACGAGGCATGAACACTATCAAAGAAAGCAACCATGGGAAGGCGTGACATTTCGTTTAACTAATGTCATTATATGTTCTCAAATTCTTTTAAAGAAAAATGTTCTCCCTGAGTTTAGATGAAAATAAACCTTGCTGTCAAAGAGAACTTCCTACGGTTTTTCAAGCATTTGTTGAGTTATTTTGTTTTTATACCCATTCATACAAATAACAGCTGGTGTAACACTTTTACTTCTTTAGAAAGATACTTAAATCACGTATTCGACTATTCACTCACATTCTGGATATTAGCGACTTTTATTTGGATATGCATTAACCAACGGGATCAAGCTTCTTTTTCAAACGTAGCAAAACTTTTTAAATTCCCAAATGATGCTATATTATTTTATATAGTTTATAGCGAACTTCGATTTTGCCAGACGTTTAAATTCCTAAACAATATTATTGTTAATCAGAACAAGATTGACAAAGGCGGAGATTACGCTATATGTACATCATTGATTTAAAAAATCCCAAGAATTTTTATTGAGATCCGACAATTTATATAATAAAATATCATTAAAATTTAATCACATTTATCTAAAATTTTAGAGCTATTTTGAAGGCTCCCTTAAAATGAAGAGAATATTTTAAACCACGTTGAATAATTCCATGCATGTGAAATAGAAAGTAAATTTTCCGACTGCCACCAAAGAATATGTTTGTTTAACGATACAATCGTTACATCTGGAAACATCACTTTGTTAATGGTGCGCATTATATCAAACGACAGAAATCAAGACAGAAAACAAAAAGCTTTTATTCATATATCTGGGTCTGTTGCGTAGATCAGTCACAAAATTAGTGACGATCCATCTGCAAAGAATCTCTCCGTAACGAAATAACTCAAGTTATCTTCAAAAAAATAAACATCCATTTTTCCCATAAACCTATAATAATTTTGCACAATGTTCAAAATTAGTTTCTAAGATAATAGTAGTCCCAAGAGTGAATTGAAGCAAGTCAAATTATTTTGCGCAATTTCGCAACGCATATATCAAATAACTACAAACCCTAGTTCTGTATAGCAAATCTACTATCGTAGTAGATCGAAAACAAAACCCAAATTCGTAGTGAGATTTAATAAGGAAGAATATTGAAGAATAAGTGTTGTCTCCTAAACAATATTTAGAGAACAATTCCATGGCCAGACAGACGTAGAAAAAATGCTACTTTGCCGTTAAAATAATTTGAAGTAAGTGGCCTGATCTAGTTAGCCCATTTATATATACTTTCGTACATAAGTTCAAAGTCCCCAAACATGTTCACAATTTATCGAAAAAGTTTGATATTCTTTATCAATGTATGAACAGTTGCGTTTAGCCAACTGATTCGCCTATTCCTGATTACATATTTTAGAAAAAGGTGAAGATTTTCAAAGATGCTTCCCAAGGTGGAAATAAATCTTACATTTGTTCTTTTTACATTAAAGAATTGCAAACGAAGATGTAATATGTTGGACTCGAAACGCATTTATTTGGTAAATGTCATCAAATATGCTTTTTTTGAAAAAATGTTAATTTTATAATTTGATCTCAACTGTTCGCGGCCCATTTGTCCATACGAACCATCGGTTGTGTTGCACAAGTAAACGTTAAGCGCAACCACATTGTTTGCCTTATGCGTTGTGCATAGGTCGAAATATCAATATAAAATTGATTGTGTGTATTTAAACGCAATTGAAGATATGGCTTGCATTGCGTTGTTGTAAGTTTTTGGCAAACTTTTAAAATTTTTGTGTTCGTGATTTTTAAGAATCAAAACGCACACTGATGTTTTGGGAGATGAACTATGCTTTGATAAGAAGCATAGATGTGCCGAAACTCTCACCTCCCAGTGGTGATCCCCGGGCAACGGCTTCGGCCGGCTAAGAAGAGTTTAAGGTTTTGGGCTGCTAACTCGGCGACGAGTTTCTGATAGATGGTGGAGGAGTTGGCTGGAAGAAGAGCTCTTACTCAATAAGCTAGTTACTACCGAGGAAATATATTGAATGGTATTTAAGTACAATGAAGGTAGTAATCTAGCGAGTGCATAGTAGAGTGCATTAGACTAGTCTACCATGTTCAGTGCAAGACCCGAGACCTATATATCTTGAAGAAAAGTAGTTCACTTGGTGCTAGCAACCAGGAAAGTATGGAGGATCCGAAGCAAGTACGGTTATTTTTAACAACCGCCCAAAGTATGCCATAAGGCTTTGCAAAATAAACTGGGAGCCACGGGGGTCAGGAAGCTCGCCTCACAAAGCCACGTATGCCTGCGAGTATATGATGGACTTTGTCCTTAAGTCGTAATAAATAAATAAATTAATTATACTATTAATGCAAAAAGGAATTGACGGACGGCCTTCCCTTTGGCCGATTGATAGAAAATGTCTAGTAAATTAATTAATACATGCAAAAATGGAAAAGGGATATGACGAATAAGTTTTCCCCTTTTACCTATTTTTTACTTTCGAACACATGTCACGGATGCCTGCGGGTAATGGTGGTAATTGATCAACAGCACAGTGGAAGCCTTATGGCGGAAGCAGTCAGTTGATCAATTTGTGAGTCCTGACTGCTTGGGTGCGGCCCTTCGGGGAGTACTCGTGGTGGTTGTGGTTGGCGAGTTCCTAGCTAAAATGGAACAATTGAGTGCAGCTAGGCCTCGCCATTCACCAGAGTGGGGTTTATTGTTCCATACACAATAAACTGTTCTGGACTCTGGTGCTGTTTAGGCCCCTACTCTGTGGGGATTGTCTAACTCGCCAGGGGGCGTAGTACGCTTAAAAGTGGTTTGGGCCACCGTGGGGTTAAGCCTTACAGGCAGGAACCCACGTTAAACCCTTGCCACAAATTCTGCTGTTTATACAAATAAAATCAAATGGTTTTATATGCTGTGAAAAACAACCAAGAAGGAAAAAAATTAAATAAAACTAAAAAGTAAACTAAAAAATAATTATATGATTAAAACGCAAAAATCATATTGCGAAGCCATTGTTCGTTCTATTATGTTTTCACTTCATCAGTGTTAATGCAAACAAGCGCTAATCATATAAATTTGCCTTAATAACGCACGCAAGCTGTGTTGATTCGATCACCCCATAACTCAAACAATCTGTTATGTTTTAGCGTGTTAGCGTTAAGTTTGTTATATTTGTGTATTTTTTTATTTATACGTAAACGATTATAGTCTTATGCGTTTGTACCAACGTAAAACGCAATGCAGGCTGTGTATTAACTCCGCAATCAAGTTTATTTTGACAGTTAGTGCGTAAATCAGAAAGCAAAAAACAGTCAAGTCAACACAATGATTCGTTATTCCTTTTTTCGGGTTAATAATTCCCAAATGGTAAGCGCAACAGGGAACAGCGTTAATATATTAGTTGATAAGAAAGAATAAGGAAATCGATGTAAATCTATATATAAACACAAACATATGGTTTGGAGAGTAAAACAAAAAATCAATGTATCTTTAAACAATAAATGCATTGAAAAAGATGTATAAGAAAATTCATGTGAAATAAACTTAGACCTTTCATTGACTAACGGAATAAAAAATGAAGAAAATTGACATTCAAAGAGTGCGCATGGACAAGGATTTTATTAACGCATTAAAATAAAGTAAAGGAATTGCTTTCATTACTTGAATTTGGCAAATATACTTAAAGTTCAAAATAAATCGCCCTTATTACTTTTCTTTCCATCCTTATAAAATACAAAGTAAAAATTGAAATAACATAGAAGATTTAAATTATCATAAAATAAGCATAAATTAGATACATTATATCAAAATATAAAGATTACATCTCTATTTCTTCGTGTGCGCTATTTTCTTTTTGTTTTATTTGCGTTTATAAATGCAAAACCATATGATTTGCCAATTACCACACGGTCTCATACAAAGTTAGCAAGTTGAAATCCGATCCCAATAATAAGAATAACGCATCTTTAAGGTTACGCGCTCATTCTAGTCTCCAACGCCTTACGCAACCATTGTCTAAGCAAATATTTCTTGTATTAGCAATGCAACCCTAAACCCTAAATACCTAATACTCCAGAAAATTCGTAATACCATTTACTTTTGTTTTACTACGTAATAAAAGCATTTATGCGAAGAAATCAAACAACGGTGAAAGCGCGCTGAAAAAGAGAATAGTCAAGAGATAGTTGAGTTGGCGTTGAAATGCCTATCTTTATATCTTCAAAACAGTTGCCTACGACTTTCGGTCAAATATTGTAAATATTATTTCCAGCAAACAAAAAAGATGTCTGACTGCGTATTGTGTAAATCAAGTAAAAAAGATGAGCTGCTATACGGAAAATTTGTTGCTACATCAAGTGGCATCAGCGCTCATACCTTTTGTCTGGTAATACTACTCGAGCCGAAGTTTTGTAGGTGAATTAAAATATTTTATATATTTCTAGTACTTTGCCTCAAATTTGGCACAGAATGGTCGCGACCATCAAGGACTTTATGGTTTTCTGCAGCGTGATATACGGAATGAAGTTTGTCGGATACGCCAATTGGTTGGTTGATTACACAAGAAAGTTTCTTAGTTCTTCCTAAACTAATAATTTCGCATTTACAGACGTGCTGTTATTGCAAGAAGCGTTCGGCCGGTATAGGTTGCTGCAAGGAAAAATGCAAAAGTAGTTTTCATTTTATTTGTGGTTTGGAAAATGGAGCGGAAAATCAATTTTGTGAGTCGTTTCGCTCCTATTGTCATAAACATCGAACAAGCGTTAATTGCAAGCCACCTACATATCGCGAATCATGCTGCATCTGTTACAATAGCTTGCGTAAGAAAAACGAAGTCTTTAACAGCTCACTGCACTTAAAAGCTCCGTGTTGTACGAATGGTTGGTTTCATAAACTGTGCCTTCAAAAATTTGCCGCAACTTCCGGATATTTCTTCAAATGTCCTTTATGCAATAATACTAAATTATTTCGAGAAAAATTGAAATACCAAGGAATTTTTATTCCAGACCAGTAAGCGGAAAAAATCTGAAATTTCGAAAAAAATATAATTATTTTGCTTTGTAGAGATGCTGCCTGGGAAATTGAACCTAATGCCTATGCTGACCTTTTAGAAAGACCTAGTAAATGCGTTGTTGTTGAATGTAAAAGTAAGATAGGACGACAAGGCAATTCAATCCGAAATCCATTAATATTTTGCAATACCTGTGGCTCGAAAGCAATACATAAATATTGCCTTTTGAACGGTGGAGGGAAAGAATTTCAGTGCAATGATTGTACGCCTATATTACAAACCTTGGACTCTTCTAAGAAAATTAGTCCACAACAACAAGATTCTGATGGCAGTGATTTCGAGATCGATATTTGTGAAATTAGTGACGAGAAAGACAAATTAAAAGAAAATAATGAAACAACAGAAGACGTCCAAGCCACTACTTCACAAAATATAATTTCACGCAGTAGTTTTCGGAATTGTAAAGCAAACTACGCACTTCAGACTGCAAACGATGATGAAGATTGCAAAGGAAATATTTATATAACAACAAATTTGAATGATAAAAATAAATATTTTGAAAATACGCCTAATGACGAGCAGTGTGAAAATGCATATGCTACAACTCCGGAAAAAGAAATTTTGCAAAAGAGCTTTCGAAAATATAAGAAGAATAAATTTTTAAGGGTCTCTAGTGATGTTGAATCAGACGAGTCTACATCAATAACAAGGAGGACAGTTCAAAAATCTTCGCACAACCCCACTGATTGCCAGAAAACCGGAATTAATTTAAACGGTGCCAATGAAATGACGCAGGCAATCAATGGTGAAATACTGGGAAATGTCTTTACAACAGCAACAAATATGAATAGTAAAAATAAATATTTTGAAAACACGCCTGATGACAAGGTGTGTAAAAATGCATATGTTACAATTTCGGACGAGGAAATTTTACAAAAAAGCTTTCGAAAATATAAGAAAAATGAATTTTTAAGGATTTCTAGTGATGTTGAATCAGAAGCAGAAGAGTTTACGTCAATAACAAAGAGGAAATTTCAAAAATCTTCCCACAACCCCACTGATGGCCAGAAAACCGGAATTAACTTAAAAGGAGCCAATCAAAGGACGCAGGCAATCAATGGTGAAATACTGGGAAATGTCTTCACAACAGCAACAAATTTGAATAGTAAAAATAAATATTTTGAAAACACGCCTGATGAAAAGGTGTGTCAAAATTCATATGTTACAACGTCGGACGAAGAAATTGTGCAAAAGAGCTTTCGAAAATATAAGAAGAATGAATTTTTAAGAATCTCTAGTGATGTTGAATTAGAACCAGAAGAGTCTACATCAGTAACAAAGAGGACATTTGAAAAATCTTCGCACAACCCCACTAGTGGGCAAAGAAACGAAAACATTCCTATAAATAATTCGTGCCGTCCGCTAAGACTCAGAGCCAAATCGGTATTAATCTCCAAACAAGAACAAATGGAAAGAGAAAAGGGTAGACTGAATCAAGAAAAATTTTCAGCATCTACAATGCCTTTATCAGATAATCATCGCCGGACAACACAAAGGAACAAGAGAAGATCAACCGATCTAGACAAGACAGGAAACCAAAATAAGAACAGTATTGGACGAGATTCATGTTTCGAACGATCCATTGCACCTTGCATAGCCAATAGAACGAGGAAACAATCACTAAACATGGCTAAATTTAAAAACGAAGGCTCGAAAGGAGATGAACAACGGGGTTGGGCTTCATCATCTTCGTTAGACGTCTCTTGCATAGCCAAAAGGACGCGGCTTAGTCTTCAAAAATCATCTAAAACTAAAAGCGTAAGTGTATGTAACGTAGAGTATTCCAACAATAAAGACTCAGAATCATCAGATGGGATAAGTGAAGTTTATGATATTGAAAGTGAATATGAGATGGAAGCTGAAAGCATTACCTCAACGGATTCCTATTCTATAAGAAGTCCCAGGGACATGCAAAATTTGTCATTTATTGCTGCGCGTGTTAAAAACCGAAGGTCTTCTTCAATCAATACTTCCAATGACAATAACAATAATAATAAAGGTTTGACAAAGCGTTTTAAAGAGGATAGATATAGGCACGAATCATCCTTATCGTCAACTTCAAATATATTACAAACAAAAGGTTCGAACGGTATTCATAGCTTTAAACGCCATTTGCGCCCTTAATGCCAAGAAAGCCGCTCAAGGATTGAATTGAATTATACCCGTTGATCGCTTTGCATCTTGATTGCATCCGATTACCAATAGAAGATAGATTCGGTTTTGAACCCTTGGAGGGTTCGTGCAGAAATCGTGGTAATAAGAAATTCTTAAAAGGCGATTGTATGAATCAATAATTGTAAACCAATTTTTAACATAGGTTCGTAAACCATTTTTTAACACAATTTTGTAAACCACTACTGTTCTCTTTAAAAATCACTCGTTCTGAAATAAAAGAGAGGCGACGAAAATCTGTAAAAAGAATAACTCAGTAAAGTAAAGATTGAAAGGTAAAATAAATCTATTGTATAGATAGCTATGTGTATTTTTCCCATTAACTTGACTTAGGTTTATAAAGCTTTTGTTTTTTTTTTTTCTAATTAAAAGGTCTAACGACTTATCAAGATTTAAGCTTATTTCAACAAAATCGATAACAACCAGAAAAAACTAGTTTTAATTGCTTTTTTATAACAACAACAAATTAAAAAGCTTTTTGCAAGGAAAGCGGAACACAAAGAATGGATAGAAAGATTTGTAGAATGTATGTGTGAAAAATACAAGATATGAAATATATCTCTCAAAATGTAGGGAAAATTTTTCGTACAATAATTTGTCTACAAAAGTAGTAGCTTTTATCTACGAAGTCACTTTATTTCTTCTACATTTTATTTGTTGATTGAGTGCCAATTCTTTTCGGCTTTTGCGCTTTTTAATAGAAAAGGGAGACATTTTAGTAACGAGGTTTATATTAGAAAAGCAGTTATCCGGAACTACATAAGAGATGTGCAGAAAAGTAATTTTACTCCCAGAAATAGAATTTTATTCTCAAGCAAAGCCAAAAAGCATCTCCATAAATTTCACTCTAAGAATCTCAGGCAAAAAAAAAACTGAACATTCAATCTAAATTTTTTTAAGTTTAAGATTTTTCCTTTTTTTAAATATTTTTATGTACTTATTTTATGCAATTATTAATACAGTCAAACCTGTTTTTGTGCGGTATTTTTTATGCGCTTTTTTTTTTGTGCGGTATGTGAATATCGACACATTGAATTTCGCCGAGAGGTTAGGTCAATCTGAACTGTGTTGGCATCACTTTTTTTGCTATCAGTGTGTATGTACACATTGCAACAGCCATTTTCATACCTATTGCATCAAGTCTATGAAGCTTCCTTTTGAGTTTTGCAAACGTTTTGACGAAATGAGCCCGACCTAATCCTTCAGTGGAGGTTATCCAAAATCTCACTCGGCTTGCTTAAAAGTTACAGACACTTACACAAAGTTAAATATTTGCAAATCGTCGAAAGAAATAGATAGACAGATAGATGCGTCACAAGCCATAGGAAATCTTAATGAACGTGGACACTGAAACCGACTTGACAGCTCATTTGCACTTTTAAGTCTTCAGCTTTGACGTTACTCTCATAAACTTCATATTTATCTAATACATAGTTCTACAAAAACAACTAAGAACATTACAGTCGGCTCAGGCCGGCGATTAAATATCCTTCACCACATAGTGTAACAAGTTTTTATTTTTTTACAAATTATAGAACACAAAAATTATATTTTGTTTCTATATAAAGGTATATTTTTCATGTGCACGTTTATAAGGAAGCTGGCCCAAAACGCAACCTAACACAGTGCAAGTTTAATCCTTACATGGGGACAGGATTCAAAAGTAGTAGTAGATGGTCCAAATTTTGTAAGGTTCATTTCATTTTAGTTAATTGCTGACCTTTTAACCATTAAGACGCGTTTTGAACTACAACGAGTAGTATTGAATTATGTACATTTTGAAAATTTCTCCTTGTTTAAAATTAGAAATTAAAATTTTTTTAAATGTTTCAATGTGCAATTTAATTATTTATTTTGTTTGGAAAGCACTTTTTTTGCTATTTCGTAAAGCTTTGACATATTTTCTAAGTGACACTTTTTTTATGCGGTCCCTCTCTACCGCATAAAAAAAATTTTCTTTAATATGCTGTGAAAAATTATTTCTTATAGCTATTTATGAAGTTTTTGAATATTTTTTTTTGTGCGGTTTTTTTTCTGCGGTCCCTATCTACCGCACAAAAACAGGTTTGACTGTAATTAAACATTAAGGTGTAAATCATATATTTAAGAAGAAAACAAAGTTACATTAAGAAATAATATCAAACTTTCACGAACGAATCAAGTTAATAATTTTAAGTTTTTGTGTATGCAGGTAATAATACAATAATGGAACTACGAAAAATTAAACAAATGTATCCTTTTATGTGGTAGCTAAGTAAAGACAAGAAAAGTCAAAAGTTTTAACAAACATGACTTAAGGAATTCAGGAGCTATTTTCAATGGTGATCTAAGGTATGAGAAAATCAATTCATTGCAATATTTAAATATGGTTTTGGAGACTTTGCGCTTATATTTAATATTACCATTTTTGAATCGCTTCGACACCGAGAAATGCCCAAAGTGTTTTGATCTTGAAGGTTTCTCTGCAGAAAATAAAAAATCTCGCGTACAATTTTTACATTTTCAAAACAAATGGAAAATCTTCCAATTGTACAGTTAATCCCACGTAACGTATTCAAATGACTTTATAGCAATAAACAGGGCCCTGATATATATATGGGTTTTTTTTTTGTAGTTCTGGGCTTGTGTTTGGCACGCTCTAGTGTTGCAAGCATTACACCCTTTGGAATTGGATAGTAAAAACGAAAAATTTCTACACAAGAATATTCTTTGCATTATTCTTTGCCGAAAGCCTGTGTTGCTAGTGCTCAATGTCTTTTTTTTTAGTCTAAGAATTCAATTCATTAGTCTAAAATTAAAATAATAATAATAATAATAATCCTAAAAATCAGTTTTTATTCCATATATATGTTAGAAAGTCAGCTGGAATATGCACGTAGTTTTACAAACATTTCTCTTAAAGATTCCTTAGAGCTGAATTAGAAACATATATATATATATAAGCATATCTTAGGACGAATCTTGCACAAACTTTGTCGAGCGCTAAATTCAGTACATTTACAAGATTTTGGTTAATTTTCTTAGCCTCGTGTTCATAGATAAAACGAACCGGTTTCTAAGCCTGGTCTTCTTTCATTAACAAGCACAGTACATTTTAGCGGTGTGTTTCAATTACGGACGGACATGGCATGCTTGTTAAATATTTGTGGATATTTCAGCTGAAATAACTAATTTAGTATATTATGATTAGAAAAAATAAATATAAAATCAAACTAATCACTTTGTGCATCCTCTCCAAAACATTTAGTTTCGTCAGCAGGTAATTCTTCGAGACTTTTTTCAGCGGTCTTTAAGGCTTCTTCGCGAGCTTTTTCATATTTATTGATTTCTGTGAAAAGAAACCTATTTAAGAAACAGACATTGAAAATGTTTATTATTTAAACTTACCAAATTCGCTTGGGTTAACTCCCAGCAGGCGCATGATGTGCATGGTCTCATTTTTGTCAACATAAGCGCGAAGACTGGATGTACCTCGCCAACCAACCACGTTTAGCGTGAAACGTTGATCGGTATATTTAATAATACAGCTTCCAACACCTGTAAAACCCAAAGTTGAAAATTTTAAATATCGCAGTCTTAAGAAGACTCTTGCTCGAGTAGGACTCTAAATGGTATAAATTGAAAATTAATATTTAAAAACCAAGAAAAAGTTTAACTGAATAGTAGGAACGATGTTGTGGGGGGTATTAACACAGATTTTTTTGAATTAAAAACTTACTTAATTGTTGACACCGTTCTTGGGTGCTTTCCTGCAACAATGTTGTGGATGGAGGCTTGGTAGGATCCGTGCATTTTAATAACAATATAAGATCGTCTTTATTTATTTCAACACGTCTTTTTGGCCCCATAAATGCGTTAGTTGTTTGCAGACCTTCTTGAGCTAAACGGAATGGATAATCAGTGTGACGATTTTCACAGCGAGCGAAAGCCTTGACACCGGTATTAATGATTTTTATAGAATCCTCATTAAGCAAAACTAAATCTCTGATCAATTCCGAGCAATAGTAAACATTTTTTTTTTTCTCTGTAACGCACCGAGTTAACAGACAGCGATAGTTAAGAGAACAATCTAAATCGAAAAATTCTCGCATTTCTTTCCAATCGTGATCGTTTTCTTCAAAAAATACATATGGGTCTTCTTTATAGCCATGCAAACGACGACGTTTTCGCTGCGGCCCCCAAGGTATTAATTTCCCTTCGTCAATTTGTATATTTTCAGATGATTTTGGCGCGACTTCTACTTCAGCTTTTTTTGGAAATAAATGCTTAACGTCATTTATTTCGAATGGGAACTGACGTTTCTTACACAAGACGGCCACAAAGAAACCGCCTGTATCTTGAAAATGCGGTAAAATCCGTATACTTTATAGAAAATAAAGTAATTAAAGAAAAAACAAAACCCAAAAATCCAAACAAAACGAATCTACCATTTTTCTAGTCCTAAGTTTGCCATTTGGTCCTTGGGTAGAGGGAACATATTTGGGCGTATTATAGTGTGATATTTGTCTGGGACTTCTTTAAAGTTACTGTACACTTCATCAACTTCTTTAGAAGCCAATTTCCACTCGGTTAAGCCTGGCTTACATTTCAAGCCAGGCAGCAAATGTAAGGCATCCACGATTTCTAATGCACCTTGATACTCGCTTACTATTCTCTGAATTACAGCCTCGTTTTCTATGGGATTGAGGGAGCAAGTTGAATAAACTAAACGGCCGCCCACTTCAAGCATTTCAGCACCACGTCTGATTATTCGATATTGTATGCTATACATAATTAAGAAGAAATAACATTCATGTAAAAATAAGTTGAACGTTACTACATCTTAGACCAAACCCGTGCAAATTATAGGCTTGCGCCAAATTCCATTTTAACCATATGTCTGGATTTTTACGTAATGTGCCATCCCCAGAGCACGGTACGTCACAGAGGATTTTATTAAATTTCATTACAGCTTTCACGCCATTAGCTTCACTGTTCTATTAAATGAAGATATAAGTTACACATTGCTTTTGCCGTTATTTGTTTATAGTTACCATTAAGTTCGGAAAATAAGCGCTATCATGGTTTGTAACTAAAAAACAAGGCGAATTTAAACGTTTAGCTTGGTGCACTAACATATAACAGCGATTATTATCTACGTCATTGGCCAAAACAAAACCTGGGGGTATTTTAAATTTCTCTGGCTCCGCATGTAGAGCTTCAATAAGTTGAGCTGTTTTGGAGCCAGGCGCAGCGCACATATCTAGAACTTTATCTGTTGGCTTAACGTCCAAAACAATGGGTGGTATCATGGAAACCGCCTCTTGCCTACTTATTGCTCCTGCATTGGTTTCATTTATAAGAAAATTGTGTAAGCGATATAAAGGTTCGGAACGTCTGATATCTTTGCGGGTTAAATGCAATTGATGGGCTAAGCCACCAGGATACCAAGGGAGGCACAAAGGACGCTCTACTTGGTCTGCAGGCGTACCCCGCAACTCAGCTACTCCCCGAATATATTCGGCAAAAAGTTCGGTTTTTATGATATTCAATAAAGCTTTGGCCTCGTGCTTAAAGCCAGTAACACGAAAAGCGGATGGTAAGTTCTCGCGTATAGTGACTGAAAATTGCTGCCATTCTGCGGCGTCCGAACATATATTTTGAAGACGATAATATTTCTCAAATTTCTCATTATCGCGTTTGATTTCTTCATAAGGTTCCGTGCGACGATCAGTACCAGAAGCCAATTGCTGAAAATATAAAATAATGCAAGTCTTCAAGAGCTTTTCCTCATTAAAATTGAATTACCTCTTTCTTTTGACGTTTTTTGGCGGCAAAAGGATTTTGCTTGTTTTTACGACCCATTTTATTTGAAGGATTTAACAAACATCAATTTTCTCGTAAAAAAAAAACTAAATTTCCGCACGTGTAGATTATTATTAACGCATGTTTACAAATTAGAGAAATGCCAGTTTCATTTGTTCTTTTTAAAAAGGTGCTGCCATACTCTATTATTGCAATGAGTGACAAATGAAGAGTGAAATCATATAGTTCGATAATTCTGTAAAAATATTTATAGAAATTTAAATTATCTAAAATAATCTTTTTAAGTACAAGGGAAAAAAAAAGAAAAGAATTTTGTGAAAATAAACCAAAATAAAAACATTATTTGATATAAATCTTTAATGAATTCATTTTCGAGTCAAAAATTATTCTTTTGTTTGCAATTTTGTAAATTCTTTTTTAAAAATATATTTATTAAGTTTTTCGTTCAAATTTTTGGTGTTTTCCGGGATAACAGGTAAACCAACATCAGTTTTTCTCCGTATCGAGACACGGTCCGATCCGATTATTGCAAGCAGAGATGAATTTGAAAATTTTTATGTGAATGCTACTGAGAATAATAAAAGATCGAGGATGGCTGGGAATGAAACTGAAAGCGAAAGAGCAAAAGATGATGACACAATAGCGCTAAGTCGCCAAGTAATTAATAAGCCTTCTGTGTTGGGTGCTAAAGCCATTCCAAGTCATGAGATTAATTTTTATGACTGTATGTCGCAATGCAATTTCTTCGTTTTTGTTGAAACTTGTGAAAATGGCGAGGGCATGCGAATGAGCATAAATTCGGATTTTTTCTTTTATGATTACCTCAAATGTTTTAATATTAGTAGTGTTAAAGGCCTAAAAATGTTTAGCATGGGTAGGGCTAAATTACTGTTCAGCTCTGCTCTTAATGCTTGCAACATCATTAAAAACAACAAAACTTAAAGAGAAAAACTTAAAAGCATATATCCCGAGAACTTTCACGGGAAGATTCAGAATTACTCGCAATGTCCCTATTGAATATTATGGAAATGAGATCACTGAAAAAGCGGTGCCCGATATTCCTATTAAGTCTGCGGTTAGGCTTCGAAGAAGAAATCCTAACAACAAGGACTATTTTATTCCCACAACGTATATTAAAATTGGGTTCAAAAGGAAAACCTTCCCCAAATCGATCAAGTTCAACTTTTGCAAGCTCCCCCTGAATTGTTTCGAACCCACCTTAAAAGAAAGCAAAGTTTAGCAGATATGGGCATGTGTTCTGGTAAGCTAAGGAGAGCATTTGCTGAATTGTGGTAAATCTTCTAAGTGTATTGAAAACTGCGAACCGATGGGGTATCTGTCTTGCAGTTCAGGTGAACATAACACGCTACGCAAGTCTTTCCCAGAAAGCAAGAATTAAGTATCAACAACATTCTTTGCCACTGACGGTTCCGTTGAACATAATGTATCTAGTTTCTCAGTACTGAAGCGTCTTTATAAAATAGTCCAAAAAGTGAAAGTTGCGGAGGAACTTTCCACGAATTTTAATGTATTGCGTTTAATCAGACAGGCTATTATTGATGGTATCAAAATATTTGTCGTTTTTTCTGAGAGTAAGTCAGCTTTACTTCTAATAAACGAAAGATGATCAATATGTGTTTGCTGTACATAGGGCGTTATGTACATCTCAAGTGGGTGACTGTCACCTTGTTTGGATACCTCGTCACTGCGGCTTTTTTATTTTCAATGAAAAAGCTGATTTTCATGCAAAAAGGGCTCAAGTTGAAGGGACAATTTCGTCCATCAAATAACTTCCAATGAAGCAATACGTGCAACTCGCAAGCACATCTTTCAACACGTAAATGATGAATTTAAAGAGATCGCGCGTATTAAATCCAATCGCCTCTTCTATAAAATAAATCCCACATTTCAATTTTGAGAGGCTTCTTTTAACTTTTGGGAAATCAAAATTCTTTACAGACTCATGAATGATCACACTTATGATAAAGTATATTTAAAAATGAGTCATGCTATACCACGCGATATTTGTGAAGTTTGCAATATTAGCGAGTCTGCTGACCATCTAATTTTCACTGGCTTGATGGTATTAGTCATTAAGTGATGATTTTCTGAAAAAATTTACATTGCCTAACCGTAATATTATTATTCGTTTTATGTAAATTAAATGTTTTTTTTTTCTTTCTCTAAAAAAAAACATTTTAAAAGTGTTTTCGTTAAATTACTGAAACTAAAACTTAATAGTACTCATGTACTTCGCACAAATTCTTATACTCGTTGCGAGAAGATGTTGGAACCGGGAGGCGAACTTGTTGGAACAGGGAGGCCAACTTGCCACATAAAATGTCTACATTTTGAAAAGAGTTTTTTTCGCGTCTTCAAGTTATATGGTGGTCTCCTCAATCTATTTGCAGCAAAAAATGTACGTCATCTCGGGGAGCTAACTTGCTTTATTAGAAAAGCGAACTTATCTTTTTAATGCATGATAAATTTTTTTTTTGTTTTTTATGTTCAATCATAGTTTATCAATATAACATTCCTCTTTTGTTTTCGGTCAAAGTTTGCAACACTTTTTTACATCACTTTCACCAACTCAACAACCTACAAAACAGTTAACATATCGGCTTCAGCTATCACGGCCGCATGTTTTTTGTTGTGTTTGATATATATTTCTTGCTAATAATTACTTTTGTTTATTATGTGAACATATAAGCCACAAGTTTATTGGCTTGGTCCATCTCAACATCCAAAAAAAAAGAAAAAAAGAAAAAAAAAACATGAAACTGAAGATAGATATTGATGAAGATGTTTCTTCAATTTGTGAGTCAACAGTAAGTATGTGGTGCACATTGTGAACTCTTTGTTACCGATATTGCCTACATATTATTTACATGTGTCATTATTAATAGTGGGCGTCACTTAGATGGGCGATGCATCCCATATATTTAATATTATATAATATATACAGAACCTACCTTTTTTTACTTACGTTAAAGGCATCCCTTACCGAAGGTTGCAGACTCTCTGTGCGTATGCATAAAACCGAAGACTGGCCTTTGGCGGAAGTGGTTAGCATTAAGGAGCTTGAAGGGAAACGGCAATTCTACGTACACTATGTAGACTGTATGTAGATTATGTGACTGTATATTTCCCGGGGAATATTTAATAATTTAATTTAATTTTAATACATTGCATTTAGTTAATAAACGTTTAGACGAGTGGGTTACTGAGGAGGATTTGGATACCCGCAAGGTGCAGTTTCCGCGCAGAGATGGTACACAAACTGGTGCAAGTACTGGCGTAACGACACCCAAAAAAAATCTTTCTGTTACAGGCAGCGTATCTAGACCCACATCACCCAAACCTTCAGGAGGAGGAGGGATAGGAGAAATGGTCAATGGTAATGCTGTCTTGGCAGCTGCATTGCAAAAAAAGATCAATAGGAAAAGAAAGGTACAAAATACAAAGTTTCATTAAATGCATTGATTGCATATTATATTTTAGATAAATTCTACCCCCTTACCACCCGGTCCTGTGCATCCAGAATGCTCGCCAGCATTTGCGTCAGTAACAGGCACTGAGGAGATCTCCCAAGATGGTAAAATTGTGACCCCACGACAGTCGGGTAGTATGGTCAGCATACATCAAGACGATGTAGTGACAAGAATGAAAAATATCGAAATGATTGAATTGGGTAGACATCGCATAAAACCGTGGTATTTTTCTCCCTATCCACAAGTAAGTGCGAATTATTCAAAACTGAATTACACTGTTAATATTTCTACTCATTCTAGGAATTGTGTCAAATGCCATGCATTTATATTTGCGAATTTTGTTTAAAATATCGCAAGTCACGGAAATGCCTCGAGCGCCATTTAGTTAAATGTCATTTACGGCATCCTCCTGGTAACGAAATTTATCGCAAAAATACTATATCCTTTTTTGAGATAGACGGTCGAAAGAATAAAGTGTACGCTCAGAATTTGTGCCTGCTGGCTAAATTATTTTTGGATCATAAGACTCTTTACTACGATACAGATCCTTTTCTGTTTTATGTAATGACAGAATATGATGCACGCGGTTTTCACATAGTCGGATATTTTTCTAAAGAGAAGGAAAGCACTGAGGATTATAATGTAGCTTGTATACTGACGATGCCTCCTTATCAACGTAAAGGTTATGGCAAATTGTTAATTGAATTCAGCTATGAGTTGTCAAAATTTGAGGGAAAAACTGGATCACCGGAAAAGCCCCTATCCGATTTGGGTCTATTATCTTATCGTTCTTACTGGGCGCAAACCATACTAGAAATTTTCATCAGTCAAAAACCTACAAGTGATGGAGAGAAACCAACAATCACTATTAAGTAAGAAAATATTAATATTTGGTATTGATAAGTTTTTAATACTTAGCAATTTATAACCTCCTTTTTAAAGTGATATTTGCGAGGTGACTTCTATTAAAAAAGAGGATGTCATTTCTACATTGCAAAATCTCAATTTGATCAACTATTACAAGGGTCAGTATATAGTCTGCATTAGCCGAGACATCATAGATCAGCATAAGAAAGCTATGGAGAAACGGAAAATACGTATAGATTCTAAATGTCTGCATTGGACACCGAAAGACTGGTTAAAGCGCTCCAAATAAGTGAGTGCTTTTATTAGCTTTCATTTTCATCCCTAAAGTTAAAGATTTTGTAATAATATTTTTTCAGAAACGAATTAAAAACTATTTGGAAAATTGCTTTTATTAACAAATTGGGAGAGAGAGCGAGATTCATGCACACGTACAAAAAATTATTGTGAATAAACTGAACGGCTCAATCAGAACGTCTTCATTCAGATAAATAATGTTTATATAAATAGACAAAGTTAAAATTTGCTAATAAAATTTGTAGATAAAAATAAATTTCAATCATATTACTTCGATCGTTTCCTTGGCGTATCGTATGGAAAATTTCCAAAAAAATTTTTTTTTGTTATGAAACGGCAATGGAATGTGTGATTGAAAGATTTAAATCTTTTGGGAGAATTTTTGAAGCGATGGGCAAACTTTACGCCTTATGGCAATTAATTGTGTTTGTAATTCAAGATATTGAATTAGATTTTGAAACGAGATTAACAGTCAGATATAGCTTCAATGGCAGTCAATTCGGTTGGCAGAGAGGGCGACCGAAAACCAGGCGAGTAGTGGGAAAAATTTTTTTTTCACTGTCTTCTTCAACGCGCCAGTAATCGCAGGTTTTCGACAAATGCTTTGGTAGCTACGGATGTAAAATTATTAATCAAAGTTTTTGAGGAACGTCATTTTGTGTTGTGATTTTTTAAAATTACATCCCATAACGAACATACTTTTGATTTTTGTGAGCGCGTTTGGACTAATTAAGTTTGCAGTCACGTGGAAGATGAAATAATGGGATGAAGGTCTAAAAAAAAAAAAATCTTATGACTGTACAAATCATGGACCATACAATGTACAAATGGGACATAACTTGGCCGGTATGGAGTGGTGTGATTGGGAATAATCGAAGTCGAAATCCTAAATTATAACTTTGACAAATTCCAATACATTTAAGTTAGGCGGCACATCGGTCTGGATTTTTCTTGGCAAATAATAATAAAATGATTTTGTTTAAATTTTCTGAAAATTTGGTATTAACATCCGAAAAGATAATTATTAAGAAATCTCTTGTTTAGAAATTTGGCTAGTATGATGATGTTTTCGCCGTTGAAAGAAAGATTTTTTCTCACTCTTTTCCGCAGCATTAAGAGATTTACAGACATGAAATAATATGTAGTTTTGAAAACCATGATAGAGGTTTAGCTTTCTTGCTACCTTTCGCTATTGTTAACCCAAATGTTGTGCTGCTGCAAAGAAAATTTATACATGACTGCGCCCTGGTGGGAGTTAAAGTACATCAAGAGGTAAGCCTTGGATATGCAGGACAACAAATAATTTTCTTTCTTCTAATAAGGAATCTTAAATTAAATGAACATTTGCAAACGGAACATAGGACTTACGTGGACATAAAAACCCGTCTATGAATTCATCGTCGCGCCCCTGATTTGCAATAATTTAGTGATAGCAGTAGATTAATAGTTTTGTCACATCGTCCTAAAATCAGATTTGGTCAGGGAGTTCATTTGAAACGTGATAAGCGACTATATGACGCGGCATGACTGATATCAGGGAGAATGACACGATGTAGAAATAATTACGTCATTGAACCTTTAGCCTTGGTATGAAACCTTTAGCCTTACTTCGCAACCAATACTTCGCTTCTTTTTATCCTTGAATTCTTTGTAAGCCTCGTTTGAACGACAAATGCTTGATGAACATTCTGACACCAATTTCCAATAAAACGGCAAAAAGATTTGTCCTCTTCTTCTTTTGCTATGCAGCAAATTAACAACAGAAAATTCGGTGGGATGTGTAAAAAAGTCTCAATGTGAACACAGAGTTCTTTGTTCGGGCCTTAGTATAGTTGGGCCTACATTTTTTTTACATAATATTATATTATTTATTTATTTTAGTGATTATTTGATTAAAGAGTTTTTTTTTTTTAATTTTGGGTTTTCATTGTACGCCTAACATATTAAATTTCTTAATAGTTTTTATTAGAATATGCATATTGCTCGTCCGCCACGTAGGATAGGGCAAAAGAGCGGGGAGTAAATTCCGTTGGTTAAGATGTAATATGGCATATGAGTATAAAAAGTTATACGAAGGATTTGATGGGTGTGAGAGTAAAGAAGTGTAAAAGAGAGTAGGTTCATAAATTGACTGTAAGTGCTTATATGCCTTGATGACATGTTTTAAAAAAGAAAAGATTGCGGCGCAAGCTGTTAAATTGCGAGAACTCAAAATGTCACGAAGGCGACATATATTCGATTTGCGAAGTGGTGAATGGCGAATAAAAGTCGTAACATTCGGTCATACAAATAGGATATGATCAGGAGATTGTAAGACTCCATATGTGTATAAAGGATTGTTTATGCATTCTGTTAATTTTGAATAGATGATTGTTACATCTCGTGACATTGAACATCAGCTTGTTAATACGACAAATAATGTCACGTCTGAGTCCACAATTGGTAAACCAAGGGGCTTATTTATTTGTGGAAATAAAGAGTGTAAATGACGGCCATAAGGTGAATTATCCAATCGTCGATTGTAAAATCGGCAGAAAATACAGCACGATTATTAAAATGAGATGATCTGAGAGATGCAATTTTATCTGCGTTGTTGTTGCCAAGAATTGCCATGTGGCTGGCCACCCAGAGAAGGTGAAAACAAAACGTATCAGACTTGAGCTATAAAGTAAGGATCTAATTTCTACTATGTGGGGCTGAATTTTACCTAAATAAAGTGATTGTAAAGTGGATAAGACAGATTTACTGTCTGACACTATAAGGAATTTGTTTTGACGTTGAGAACTCGCTAAACGGATGGCTTCCAGGATCACTAGACATTCAGTCGAAAATATAGTGCTATATGGGTGATTTGAGAATTATGCTTCCATATTAATGTTTGGAAACCAAATGCCACTGCTTACAACATCGGTCTTAGATCCATCAGAAAAGATGAATGAGAAGTGTCTCTATTTGCTGTTGACCAAGTTCGAGTAATGGTGGTGTACATTTGCCGCAGTAACTGTGGATTTTCCCGTTAGTAAGAATTTTATTACTGGCCAAAAATATTGGGAATCAAAAGGAATTTTGTATAAGCTATGTACACCAGTTCTTAGGTTGTTGAAGTTATTAGTTTTGTCAGCAAAAGTTTTAACGAAGGAAGAAGAGGAACTGAGATATATAAAGTTGTCGACGAAAGGTAAGGCCGGATGATTCTCAAAACATAGAATTTTATTAGATGAAAAATTGGCGAGTAAACCAAATCTTTCTTGTAGATGCATAACATTTGCTTTCTGTTCCAAGCTTAGTGTGCGTGTAGAATTCATGCAAACAAGACCCATTGGATTTTGTATAATTTCAGAGGGTCCTTCTTTGGGACGTCCAATAAGGGTGAACGGGCGTATTCTAATAATGGTCTGAGTAAACCAAGATACAGTTTAATCATACAAGAAGGATCAGAATACCACAAATGGATTTCAATACATTAATGAGTTGAAAACATTGTTTGGCAGTTTTCTTAATGTGATCTGCTAGGGTAAATTTCGAGTGTAGGACAAAGCTTAAAAAGTCGAAAGTTTCAACAAATAAAAATAGAAAAACCATAGATGACAGAGAAGTAATCGCGGGGTCTCTTCTTTTTTTGAAAAAACCCAGCATTTGGTCTTACTGACTGTAAAAGTGAGTTAAAGTAATTTAAGACGAAAGGAAATGTTTTTATCTATTTATTTATTTATTTATTTATTTATTTATTTATTTATTCTACTTATACTAGAAACTCAACTAAACAAATAATAGTCGAGTTCAATTGGCTTTTAATGCAAAACTTATATTAATTAATAATAAAATTTAGTATAAGTATAATAAAACAAATAAGAAGAAAAAAAAATAAAAAGAAAAATAAACATGTACACTATCAGCATACAACCGGTACAGGACCAAATTGCAAATGAACCCCCAAGGCATCGCAAACATGCATAAGCCTGGCAACTGATAATAAATTGACAACAATTCATTATCGCAACGTAACGACTTTTTAAGGATAAAAGCTAGTTTAAATATGACATAGGTAAATCGCGCGTATTAAGCAATGTTGTTTTAATGGACTTTAAAGAGTCCGATAACGAGAATAAGTGGTAGACGTCATTTAGGTTTTTGCAAACGACTCTGAGCGGATTAAACAACTCATAATTAAATTTACACTGACTAAGTTTAACCAAGATAAAGTGCCTAGAGAAGCGGTTAGGGACATTAAAGCTTATTTCATCAAGTAATGAAGGCGTGTCAATAGCACCATTTTTTACTTTGATTACAAAGGAAACCCCAAGAACAAACCTACGTTTCTCAAGAGACGATAAGGACAGCAGAAGCAACCTATTTTCATACGGAGGAAGAGAGGCAGAGGTGCTACGCCAGACGTAATGGGGAATTCATCCGAGGTGATGAAGTTAAACAAAACTCTGAAGCATCTATTGTGCAGATAAGAGCTTATCCATTTCACTAAGTAGGGTGGGAAACCACAGGCTTGGAGTTTAAAGATAAGTAGTCTTTGGTTAACCATATCAAATATTTTGCTTTAATCAGTGTAAATAACATCTCTGCGAGAGCCACTAGAAAAAGCCTTGAAAACATGACAGGTAAACTCTAATAAGTTGGTGACTTTAGATCGCCCTTTCCGAAAGCCGTGCTGGTGCGGAGAAATATACGAATTAATGGCAAAGGCCAAATGCTGAGTCACAATACGCTCGAACAACTTGGGCAAGACACTCAACTTGGCTATTCCTCTGTAGTTCTCAACAAATTGTCTACTTCCACTTTTGTGGATAGGAATAAGGAAACTACTCTTCCAACATGAAGGGAAAACACCTAAATACAAGGACAGGTTAAATATCTTTGAGATCACACCACATAACTCGACAGCGCAAGATTTAAGTACACATGATGGAATTCCATCAGGTCCAGGCGAACAACTGTATTTTAGAGAACTCAACCCTTTAAAAACGTCATCTTCCGAAATAACCAAATTAGGTATTGAAACCGAGTTAGTTATAGGATATGGGTAGTTTGCTGATAAATCGAAATTAGCAATCGAAAAGTTTCGTCGGAAATACTCAGCAAACAGATTTGAGATTTCAAAATCATCCGAGGACTCAGAGCCATTAAAAGAAACATGGGAGGGATATGCGGAT